TAACTTGTGTAGATTAGAATAACTAACCTGTTTATTCTAGAATAACTAACCTGTTTAGTGTAAAATAACTAACTTGTGTAGATTAGAATAACTAACCTGTTTATTCTAGAATAACTAACCTGTTTAGTGTAAAATAACTAACTTGTGTAAAGTAGGATATGAATAAGGGTGTACAATGGTGAATAGGAGTGAATAAGGATGAATCAGAGTGAAATAATTGTGAATAAGGGTGAATAATGGCGAATAGGTGTGAATAAGGATGGATAAGGGTAAATAAGGGTGAATAATGATGAATAGATGTGAATAAGGATGAACATGGGTGAAGAAGAGTGAATAAACTGACTCAGAGATATATTTTTTTTATCATAAACTACCGTTTCATAGATTCACGGTCTGTGGAACAGATTGTGAATTGGCCACCTTATCTGTACAGACATGTGAACGCCACAGGGGGGCGCCTTTTCCCACTTTTATTGACCAATCTGAATAGTAAGAGAGTTCCTTTGGTGTGTCTGGAACTGATGAAATTATGATTAAATGAACGCTGTGATCTTCAGGGTCCTACAATGCATCCTTCTTTAATTGATGCAAAAAAGATGGTGGTTCTAATATTCAAACCTTGTGATCCAATATATCTATGCAACTTGATTTATAACAGACTGCAAACTAATTACTAGAATCCATCACAGACATGGCATTAAGCTGAGAGCAGTTTTAGTTTGTGTTTGGACCCAGCAGTCTCACTGAGTCCTCTCCCTCCTTCACAGGACGGTAACCAGACCGGATTACTTTCCCCACACCTACACCGAGGCCGTGTGCCTCTGCAATGGATGCATCCTGATGGAAAACGGCACCGTGCAACACAGCCACAACTACAACAGCATCCCCCTTTTGCACACGTTCATGTTCCTTAAGAGAGACAGACACAACTGTGAGGAAGGCAAATACCGCCTGGTGGAGGAAATGGTGCAGGTGTCTGTGGGGTGCACCTGCGTCAGGGCGAAGACCGTACGGTCGTAGTCCAACCCTTGGAGGCACCACCTCAGACTCAGAGATGTTATGCTGTGAGGTTCTACAGCTCTACTTTGAGATGGACTGACTTAACTACCTATTTATTGTTTATTTATTTATCCAAACTGTGTTGGGTTGTTTTTTTCTCATAACTAGTGTGAAGTTCTGCATAGTGCAGCTTATATATAAAGAAGGTATTAAATACCTGATTCCACAAATGATGAAGTTTCCTCATCAAAAAATGCTGTTGTGAACTACTGCAATATCATAACAGCGATAATCATGTTTGTAGTAAATATTTATGTTAATTATTCTCATTTATAATGTGTCAGATTGTTCATCATATGATGAGATTCTGTTTTCTTTTCTTTTTATCCTGTAGATGCTTTGTCCCAGTGGGACTTCACAGTTCAGCTTCTTTGAAGCAAAAATAAATGCTAAATAAAATGTTGCACATTTATAAAAACAGCCTTTCTCTGAACATGTAGACCTACAGGCTGAACGGTTCATTGCATTTGAAATATGATCACAATTTTATAAAACGCAATTTTAGAATCACAGAGGAGCTCATTTTCTCAGCTACATTTAATTAGAGCAGACACTAACCCTCCAGGGTGGCATTAAAACACTAATGGTGGGTTTGCCGCCACAGAGAAGCGAAGAGTTGCACCTACTTCTACTCGCAGATGCATGCGAGTAGAAGTTAGCACTTTTACACCAAGCTGTAAAGTTCTCATCAATGGACTCTGGACAAGAAGGCATGACGACAAACCCTGAGACAAACAGGCCTGCCTGTGGTTAGATCAGAGGAAAATCAAAATATAAGTGCAATCCCAGTTCAATTTTAGTCAAAAACAATCACAACTTTGATTTTCTTTGGCAAAATCTTTTAGCCCTAACAGGTAAAAATTAGGATATGCAAAACGGTGATTAAACATAGAGGGAGATACTTCAAAGCTTTATTTCTTGTCACGTTAATGATTATGGATCAGAAAGAACGAAAACCCAAATTCAACTGAATATTGGCCGGTTTTTCTATGGCACTTTTAATAAGACTCCAAACTCCTTACACTACAATCACTCCTTCCCGCATTCATTCAAGCTTTCTAGCTGTAGGACAATAAGCCTCCATCTGTTCATGTTGAACATGAAACAGGTCAGACATTAGATTATTTTTTATTAGTGATTTATATAATTATCAATACTATTATAGTGGAACAAACTAGTTCAACCATGAGATAATGCAGCAAAGGGTACCCAATCAATTGTAGTTCCGATAGTTATCCAGCAGATGTCGCCATTCTTAACTGTATCAAATGTATGGAGCATAGTATTGAATTAAGGCCAATAAACTCAATGCGCAACTCCACTACTTCCTGAACGTAAGGCAGCTCTTTTGTTTCCTGTCTTTTTCTACTGGATGAACTAATTAATCCAGGTGTGCCTGACCTCAATAACAATGGCCAGACACGCCTGGATCCATCCACTGGTCCAGTAATGAAAGACAGGAAACGAAAGAGCTGCCTTAAATTCAGGAAATAGTGAAGTTTTGCATTGAGCCCATTGTGTCAAATTGGTTCATGGGGCTTCAAATTTGCCGTCACTAATTTTGGCTGGATTCTACCGCAAGATCCATGGTGGTTTGTTGAGGACCCAGATTCAGAGACGAAGGCAGGGATGGTTTCTTGTAGACTTGATGAGGGTGGTGGCAACAGAAGCATGAACCCAGAAACAAAACTGACCAGGGAACACGGGGGAATGAAGAGAACCCAGCAAAGAGGAGGAGTATGTATGCCAAAGAGAACAAGGAATATAGTCGGCAACTGATGGGGAACAGGTGGGACAAAAGTATCTAGAAGGGAGCTAAGGAAAAGGAGAGGGGCACTAGGGGGCAACAGAGAGTAACCAGGGAATACAACAACGCTTAAATACAACTAAAAAATAACTTGAATGACACTACTTGGAAATTAAACTAATATCTTAGTTACAGAATGAAAAATCAAAGTTTAACTGAAAACTTAAAGTAAAAACTTGAACAGAACCAAAGATCCTGATCAGGAGATCATGAGAATTTCTTTCACAGTTTTATCAGTTTGAAACTCTAAGCAATGCACTGTTAGCTCCAGTTGCATTAAAATGAGATCCTAGTTTCATCCATTACATCTGAGGTCTTCAGGGTGACAAATGCCTCTTTGGTTCTGGTTTCCTTTTGCACCTTCATGACAAAAACCCCGGAACCCAACACTGTCCCATTTGGTACATTTGTTTTAAAACTCCCACTGAGGTCCTTAAATTTCTTAGTCGGTAACCAATCAGTAAGAGACAAAGATCCAATGAAACTAGTCAAAAATGGCGAATTAGCTGGTTGAAAAGAGATGTTTTTGGACAAAAGGTTGAGGTTTTGAGGACCTAAATGCAGAGGCGGTGAGGCAGAGGTGAGTTCTTGTAGTTTTGAGTTCTCACAGGCAACAGAGGCATGAATCCAAAAAATCCAACAGAAAAATGCAAAACAAACCAGAACAATTGAGTGAAGTAGTTTGGTCGAGGATCAGCAAGGTGAACAAAAAAAAAAAAAAGTTTCTGTTGTCTTTTATTTGGCACTTTTCACTCCGACAACAATTCCTGAGCTTCCAAGAGCTCAGTGCTTATAAAACCAATTGGCAAAACACCTGCACTTGAGTGGACCAAGCCACAATTAAACAGGTAGAAAAAACTAAAGTCTAAACAGAGAAACAAGAATAAAATTATTAATCTAATTTACAAACTCATCTGAGTCTGCAAAATAAACAATGAAGATAACCCCAAAAGTTACTTTAAAAACAAATGAAAATAAAATAAATGGTAGAACCCAGCAAGGTAATTGGTTACATCATCTAGCCCAGGCGTCCCCAAAGTCGGTCCTCGAGGGCCGCTGTCCTGCAGGTTTTAGAGGTTTCTCGGCTTTAGCACAGCTGATTCTGATGATTGCAGTTCAGCAAAAGCCTGTTAATCAACTATCAATGTAAATCAGCTGTGCTGGAGCAGAGAAACTTCTAAAACCTGCAGGACCGTGGCCCTGCAGGACTGACTTTAGGGATGCTTGATCTAGCCATTTTAGCAGGAAATACTGGGACAAACAATTGAGTAAAAAGGAAAACAAATACCATAAATATATTTTCAAAAAAATAAACAGTTTCAACCAATAAACCAGAAGTAATAGCTTTCACCTAAACACAAAGATGGAAACTGCAACATAATGCTACACAAACAGACCTGGGATAGTAAATGAATAAAAGTCACAAACTAATGCTTAAATTTAAGCATTATAAATCAGAAGGAAGAATAAGGGACAAGTTGTGAATGCAAACTGAACCACTCGGTCACAGAGACTTCAGGGGACCATTGACGAGGAGCCTGGAAACACGAGGATCTGTTCAGGGATAGTATTTATGGGAGGCTGAACAAAGACAGGACTAATGAGATGATTGGGAGCAGGTGTGAATATAGGCTTTTAGAAGGAGCTAGGGAAAAGAAGGCCACTAGGGGGCAACAAAGAAAAAAACTAAGAACACAAATGTATCCAGAAAACACCAATAAAACTGGAAAACAAAGAAAAACATGGATCAACGTGAAATTGTCAACTTACAGAAAGACAATGACAACAGAAAGAAATGGCATCATAAAACAATGGTGTTGGCCTGTGATCCTGCTTTCATTGTTTTAAACTTAACGCATTTTTTATTAATCTATTTTTGAATGCATAAAAAAAAACATGGATTTCCCATGATTACTACTACCGATGGAGCGAACTGCATTCAATAAAAAACAAACAAAAAAAAACTCATATTTTTATCAGGATCTCGTTGGTTTATCTTGCAATTATGATGTCGTATTCAGATGTTTATGAAACTTTTTCTCATAAAGCTGCCATAAGTTCCTAATTATGACGTAAAAAAATAGCTCAGACCGGGTCGGAACCATTGTGTCAGGTTGATTGTGAGGTCGGCCCGTTTTAAGTGTTACTCAGAGGGTGATAAACAAGCAGGTTGCTAGCCGCTTGCGGTAAATTCGGTAAGTTTATATAAATATAAAATAATGATTGCAGCTGCATATAAAGCAGTCGAAAATTAGTCAGAGGTTAGGCTGTTCGTTGGCAGGAAGCCCGGCTTCCTGCCTGGAAGCGGCGCTGTGAAGCTAACGGAGCTAGCATTAGCTAACCCTAACCTCCATCTGACTGGACACAGAAGAGAGCCAGACAACCGAACCGACACCAGAGCCTCAATAACACAACTTTCCTTTTCCTTAAACAGGGGCTTTGACCAAAGTGCTAAGTAGTTTGATTTTACAGCAAAGATAATAAAAATATAGTTCATCAAATTATGTCAAAATCACACATTTAGATAAAAAGAACAAACAAATATGCTAGTTGCTATCTGTCATTTAATTTCACTTAAAACCTATAAAATTAAAATATTTTAATTTAAAATATCTTTTTACATGTTTGCCTTTAGCTGTTTAATTTCCCTTTTCCATCCTTTCAAGTATTTAACTGTGGGCTGATAAGGTGATACTATACTGCAAATTTATAGTCAAACAGTCAAAAACTATTTTGGATGCTAAGATACTTTTCAGCTATTTTTTAATATAAAATTATTAGAATTAAGATTTATCATTTTAATATTCATTGATCATTTACTGTTTATAACTGGGTCTGGACCCTCCTCTGGCTAAATAAATAAATGTATTCACCTTCAGGCAAATCAAATAGTTTAAGACTAAATGCCAAAACTTTCCACCTCGGCTGCTGAGAGGATGAAAAATAAGGATTTCTCTCTGCTTTTATGTTTCCACAGATCTTAACCTCATCAGCTCAGACAACACTGCTAAACTAGAGGCTTAGGAGGGGCAGACCTTATCAGATTGATTCATAAAACAGCCAAATTAACCCATTTTCTGTCTATATAACTGATATTGGTGTAAAATCCTTTTTTTTTTCATTTGTACAAGATTAGACCCAAGTGGAAACTTGGGTTTTTAGAATTAGCATTAAAGTAAACAAGTTGGATGTCAAAACAAATGATTTGATTTTAGAGCAGATGATGTCTTAAGGCAAAATGGTTTGCAGCATTTAAAAATCTTAGAAGCTGTTGTCTGATATAGAGCAGAACAATTCTTTATTGCTCTCCAGTTTTTAAAATTCTAGTGTGATATTTTAGACCAAAATCTGCAATCTAGTTTTTGTTTTTCTCTGCAGCTTCCTGCAAATGTTATTAGATGCATGATTTGTTGTTTTGAGGCATTTAGAATACATATTTAACGGCTAACAGCGTTTTATTTAGCCAAAGAGTGCTGCTCCAATATGTTTTTTCTTTTATAATTATTCTGAATTAATCCTTTTTTTAAAGTAGCAGATAAAGATGAGAATAATAATACTTTTGAAACATTTTCAGGTCAGGAAGATGACGTGGAGTGTTTGGAGGGTTACACTGGCGTGCATCACCACTGTCACGTGTTGCATTTTATCTAGCTGACTGGTTTTTGGCAGAGATAAATCATTTAAAAATAGTCTGTTTGTACCAACATGGTTGATCTGCAGAATAATTTCTAGCAGTTGGCAGAGATGATATAAAATCCCAATACATTTTTCCAAGACTTTAATTTATTTTCTCCAAGTTTAGACCTGCTGGTCCCTTTAGAAATACGGCTGCTTAAATTAAATTATCTCAATAAAACTTCAAGGATTTGTATGTAGTTTAAGTCCAGAGTTTTTACATAGCTGTGATACTGATGTTTGCTGCTGCAGGGTCGCTCTGATGGCCGACGGAGAAGTGGCGGGCGTCGACCTCAGCAGGAAGTTTGTCTCTGAGTCGGAGCTCGACGAGAGGAGGAAGAAGAGGCAGGAGGAATGGGAGAAAGTCAGGAAGCCAGACGATCCAGAGGGTGGGAGCGAATGCATGGAAGTCCTGCAGCGTGACCAATGACGCCACTCGTTTTTTAAAAATGTGTCTGTCTGTTTGTTCACCAGAGGCCCCAGAGGAGGAGTACGACCCTCGATGCCTCTATGACCGGCTGCAGGAGCAGAAGGACAAGAAACAGCAGGAATATGAGGAGCAGTTTAAGTTCCGTAGGTCTATTTCATCAAGTCCAACCAGATTCACATGTATTCCTCATCATGAAGGAGAGCAGCTCTCCAAGGGAACTGCTGCCAGTGATCCTTTTGCAGCAAAGTACACCCAGGAAAATAACAGAAAGCTGAGCAGTGCCCGGTTAGGTTACAGTTATGTTCTCAATCTGCTTCCTGCTTTGTTTGGTGGGAATGTTGTGTAGTGAGCTGTGTTATGATTTGAAATCAGTTTTTCTCTCCTTTTGTAATCACCCAGCGTAGGATAAAGGTTAGCCATGGTGATAATTCCAGCATGGTAAAGATCAACAATGATTCATGTGCACTGTCCCTGTGAAGTGTATGGATGAATGAATGAATGCTCTGCAGGGCAGAGAACATCAGCAGCATTCCAACGATCCACTTATCCACAGATCAGCTCGTTGGCTTAAAGCCCTGTTTATGTTATGATGCTAATTCAGTGGAAGACAGACTCTTTAGCCTTCAATTAATGCTCTCTTTGTTCTGCCTTTTGGTGACAGGAAACATGGTGAGGGGACTGGACGAGGATGAGACCAGTTTCCTGGACGAGGTTTCCCGGCAGCAGGTCCTGGTTGAGAAGCAGCGGAGAGACGAGGAGAAGAAGGAGCTACTGGAATACAGAATATCCTTTTTTATGGGAAGCTTTCTGGTTGGGGCTGTAGAGTTTCCTGAATTATTGTGAGGTTTAGAACTGGGCAATGACATCCAGAGAATCAATAGTACGCTATGATTATGAAGACTAGCATCAATA